GACCCTGTCCTGACTCGTCTCCTTCTGGACTCCTCAGGACCTCTGAAGATCTGCTGAGGTATGTGGACCCGACCCGTCAGGAGCAGATCATTCAAATCCTGGGATCTGTGATGTTTGGTCTCAGTGGATCAGACCTGTTTGTCCAGAACATCTCACATATGCTCATTTGGACTGAAGGTTCTTCATCAGCAAGCGAGCGAATAGAACCGGTGACCTAATGTTGGTTCTAACCCGAAGCCAACTGCCTGACTGTCCTAAACGGACCGGACCCAGCCAAGAACGCTAGCCGAGCAGAAGCTTGGCTGATGGACACTGTGGTTTAGGATTCTTTGGCTGAAGAGATGGTTCTGGTGATGAGCTGATTGGGTCCGCCTGCTGGGTGAACGTCTCTGCCGGGCTTTGTTCTGGCAGCTCCTCCTCCTGACTCACAGGCATCGTCCAAGAAAACAAGAGTGACTCACCGGCTTAAGGGTAATTTGGCCCTGATTACTGATGGGGCAACATGATCCGGTAATCACGCTGTCCGTATGACATCAACCGAGCTGTGGTCCGTGCAGCAGACAGAACCTCGAGGTTCTGTTGGTTTCCATTAGCCGTTATTGTTGGAGCCGCAAAATACAGAAAGCTACGATGGTGCTGTTTCTGGCAGAACCAAGGAACCATCAGAAACTATAAAACCTGATCTGGAAGATCAGGAAGCTTCTGTAGTCTCTGTTAATAAATAGAGGGGGGATTGTGTCCCTCGCTGTGGAGCAAAGAAAAATATTGTCCATCCATCCATCTGTGCAGCCATCCATCCAACTGTGCAGCCATCCATCCATCTGTGCATGTTGTCATTATGATAAATTCAAAAACAAGTGAGGTACGAAATTCCATTTTGGTGTGTGGTTGGGTTACCAGGTCAAAATCCAAGATGGCCACCACTAAAACTACATATATATATGTGTGTGTAAAACGACCACCCCAGTCATCGAAGGAAACTCTGCCCTAGTTTTTATATTCCTAAAATTTAGTTTCCTCCAACGATCGGGGCGACTGAAGAGTAATCTGTGATCGGCGACGCCACCGGTACCAGACCAGGGTCGACTCTGGTGCAACGTTCTAGACGAGTATCTGCTCCAGTTTAACGTTCTAAACCAGTGTCTACCCCAGTTTAATGTTCTAGACCAGTGTCTGTTCCAAATTAATGTTTTAGACCAGTGCCTGCTCCAGTTTAACGTTCTAAACCAGTGTCTACCCCAGGTTAATGTTCTAGACCAGTGTCGGATCCAAATTTAATGTTTTAGACCAGTGCCGGATCTGGTTTTATGATCTAGACCAGCGTCGGCTCCGGTTTAACGTTCTAGACCAATGTCTGCTCTGGTTTATCTTTGTAGACCAGTGTTGGCGCCAGTTTAACATTCTAAACTAGTGTCAGCCCTGGTTTTACATTCTAGACCAGTGTCTGCTCTGGTTTTATATTCTAGACCAGTGTCAG